CTCTCCTCCCCTCCCCTTCCCTCCCCTCCCCACCTCTTTTCCTATTCATTCACATTCATGCAATAAGGCTCTCCCTGCAGAATTCCCTACAAGGAATCTATGTTTCATTTTGTTTTATCACCTACAAATACACTAACTACTCTCTTAATAGGTATTTATAGAGGAGGGGGAAAGAAATCTTTCCTGGAGTGACTTCATAATGAATACTGATAATAAAAAAGATTTCAATTAACTATTAGTAGAAAATAAAATAAAAAAAACCCTCAAAGATATAGTGTGCATTGCATGTTCCTTAGAAAGCATAGTATGAAATAGTTCTGATAAGAGATACTCCAAATTCAGTGGTGGTTACAGATCCAGCCGGGGCACAAAATGACAACACAAAGTATTTTTTGCTGTGAATTTTCTCTGGGCTTATGTGATCTGATAGAATTTAAAAGATTTTTTTCATATGACATCTCTCTTTACTATACAACAGGTTTTCCTCTGAAAGCTATAAAACACTAAATTAAGCTGAGCATAATGAACCATTTTCCAATTAGTTGCAGCTTGTCACACTTATCTATTGGACTATATGATACTAAGACATCAACAGAGTCAACACCTGAAGCAAACTTCAAATTTTAAGCATTTTATATTTCAGTAGTTCTGTTATTTTCTCTTCTTCTTGTCTCTATGGAAGTTTTGGACTGTGCATGACTAGTACACACATCTGCTGCAGAACTTTGCTTGGTGTCTCAGGAAGAATATTATATGACACTGACACATTAAGTCAGAGACAGTCACTTTAAATTATTTGCTTCAGCTGTACAAGCAGAACGTAGGCGAGAAATATTTTCAGCATCATTAAAAGTCAGAAAATTTATTAGAAAAATATGAATACCAAATTTTTCACCAGAATACTGAACATCTGTGGTTGAATTTTTTAAATTTATAAGTCCACTAAGATAACCCACATAGCTTTTCTTAATGCTTTTCTCCATTGTGTCTTGATAAAGGTTGTCATTTTTGGCAGCCTTAATGCATTTTATTTGTAGGTGTTAGTAATTAATTAGACTTTAATCAGAACAATGTTCTGTTTCATAAAACTCTTCAACTGTAGGTATTCTGGAGTAAGAGGTATAGGATAAGAATTAGTAAAGGAGTGTATATTTGCACTGATTTTTTGCACGTCTTTTGCTTTTAAAAACACTTGAAAACAGAAATAAATGCTTTTTCAGAAAAGAAGGGAGCAGAATGGGACAAGGAACAGAGGTGAGAAAAGTTTAGATTGAATGCTTAATACATTTAAATTTAAAAAATTATTTTTAAACCCGGCTTGTTGTTTCTTCCCAGGAGGAAAAAAAAAAAAAAGAGCCCTTCATTTCAAAGCTATCTTGTCAGAAGATAGAGAGGAGTACAAGATTTGTTATTTTTCTCAATAATAATAATGATTTCCAGTAGAAGTGTGGTCTGTGGTTCCTGTTAATACTAATATTGAGACTGCTTAATTTTCTTACTTGCACTTTTCTACAATTCAGTCTGTAGCCTGCATTTGACTCTGTTGGTCAGAAAATTTGTGCTCATGCTTCTGATCCCTCATCTACATCCCTCTCTCCTCCACTGACCCCCATCTTCCTCTAGTGTCTCTTTTTTCTTTCCTCAAACATTTTTCACCTTGATGTCGTACTTTCCACTGATGTTTTCCTCTTGAAAATACAGTTATATTTTAAGCCTCTGCTCTCAGAAAAACAAACTCACTCGACAACCACAGATTTTCCTTGCATTTGTTTTATTTTCTGATTGTTACCCTTTTCAAAATTACAGAATGTTTTTTTTTTCCGTTTTACCACTACAGCTTATTCAAAAAAGTACAGTGGTTGGGCTTTTTCATTTATTTTTTAAACCAACTGTAGAGCAATATGAGAAATTCATTATTTTAATACTGCTCAATTTACTTTTCTCCCAGAAAAAAAAAAAAGTGATTTAAAATATTCTTACACTTAAATAAAAATATTTTAAAATATGAGCTTTTAATTTAAGTAATTTAAGTTGAGTTTAAATTACTTCTCTACCTGAAAAATCTTTTATTGATGGGAAATGGATACATTAGAGGAATACTTAAGCTCTAAATGCCATTATAAAAGCTTCATAATTCTGGATTAGAATCTTGCTCAGTGACATTAAGCAACCAACTGATTTAAATGTGTGAAGAAGACTGTACATCATAGAGTTGGTATGTAAGAAAAAAAACGGACCAAAAGCAAATCCATCTCATCAGAAACTTCTGTACAGCATAAGGATTTCCAGGACTTTCATTTTAATTTAATGAACTTCAGCAACAATTAAGTTTTGCAGGGAAAATGCTCTCTTTGCTTGCTTCAGTCTTCTGTCAGCTATACACTTGATTGTAACCATCAGCAGAAAGTGTGCTTGGGAGTGGCAGTGGCCCTCTTTTAAAGAAATATGAAACAGGTTGGAAAAACACTAATAAAACTTGGGAGCAAAATAGTCTATGATGTCAACACAGCCTTCAAATCCATGAACTGTATTTATTAAAAAAATAAATATACACTTATGTCACGCTCTTGTCATTAACATTTAATGTGTAAAGAGTGGGTGAACATTCTATATTTAATTAAAACACAAAATTATTACTTCCATCTGCACATGCAGACCTGAGAAGTGGCTTAAGGTACACAAAAAATTTACATCTGGTATTCAAATATAGGTGTGGGGGGACATTTTAACCATATCAGGTGTCACACCATTCCTCCAGAGTAGAACAAATATGATACGTTATTTATTAATATTTGAAAATATTTCCAATATTTGAAGTTTCTTGGGCACTTGTATAGTTTAAATCATGTAAGTGAATCACAGCTTCCCAGGGTTAGGAGATCTCTTAAGTTATTTTCATTTCTTATTTTCATTTTATTTTTTGGTTCCTCTGGAAACCCACACAGAATGTTCTTTTTCTCAGTGTGGCTTTTTCAGTAATTCGTTTGTTCTACATTTAGTGCCAAGGAGCACAGACCATGTTAAATCCGTACAGCAGCTTGCAATCTCCTGAACCATATGCTATTTTACAGCAGGTCACCTGTGGAAATGCTTTTTTCAATCAAATCCTCCTCTTGGCTTGTCACTCTGCTGGTTCACACTGGGGCTAATCCTGGTGCTGTCACTCTGCAGCCACCAAAGCCACCATCTGCTCTTTGCCCTACTCAGGCCTTTGATCAAACAGTAAATCAATGCTTCAGGATAGGGAAGGATTTCCTGGGTGCTGGCCATACGGCAACATATTTGGTCATTGCATGGAGCCCTTGGGTAGCACTGTGATCTCTGGTAAGTAACCTACCTTCCCATTATCTTCACTTGGACTTACAAAGATTTCTCAGTGCAGAAATCAAACATTCTCATCTGCCTCAGAAGTGGCAAAGCTACTTGTGCATGGCTTTGAAATAAGGTTATCAAGTGGATATCATGTGCTTCAGAGCAGCAAAGGCTAACTTCCTGCGGGGACAAGGGAAAGACCATACTGGCATTCCACAGTCCTACCTGAAATCTGTTTGCTGACAAGGAGCTCTGGTGGCCCAGAAAGATTTTGTTTTCTTGGCTACATGTGATCAGACCTGAACCAGAATGATAAGGCTGGGTAGCTGCAAGAGGAAATCCAAAATGCCGAAGGGGATCATGATTTTTCTGACAGAGGAAGGAATCTGTAATAACACTACAATAGTACAGGCCAGTAAACTTTAGCAGATCTTGTTTTTTTTGCTGGGGAGGCCACTGCTGAGCAAAGATGGGATGCAATGTATCACTTGTCTCTCTGTGTGCATGGGGTTGAAGTGCTGAACGGTAAAATTCTTGCTAAACCCTGCAAAACTGCATCTGACATTCCTTGAGATAGGACAGAGGCTAACTCAGTCGCTGAGTAAGCATAACTGGTGGGCCTTAAAATATCTGTAGACTATAAGAGAATTGCTGAACTAACAAGCTGCTGAGCCAGCATAATGAATAGAACATAGCAAAAATAATGCAATAGCTTTGTGGTTAAGACAGCTGTAAACGAAAGAAAAGAGAAGCTGTCTATCAGCTCATTTCAAAGAACTGGCTCCTCAGTCTCTTGTATTTGGACTAAAATGGATTCAGCAAAACAGCAGAAGGATAGTCTGGACAGCTGAGAATGTGTGTGGCCTGTGGGTCACAGCATTATAAGGAGATAAAAGAGATTCAGAAATTCATCAGTGTGAGTTCATCAGAAGAGAATCAGCATTGCAGATGCCATGGGCTGAGAAAGGTGAGCATTTTATTTAAATTAACTTGAAATACTGGTCAGGATATGCTTGTGACTCCCAAGTGGCAGCAGCAAGCATCTTGCAGACCTTTAAGATATGAGAACTTAGAAATCTGGGCAGAAATGTGCCTCATAGCAAGACTGTTATGCTGCTAATGTCTTTGCTAGGGAGTTTATCATAAACATCCACTGCTTTTTATATAGTTTTATTAGTTATCTTTTGGGATAGATGCAAAGATAGATAGATAGATGATAGATAGATAGATAGACAGATAGATAGATAGATAGATAGATAGATAGATAGATAGATAGATAGATAGATGATAGACACATCCATCCATCCATCCATCCATCCATCCATCCATCCATCCATCCATCCATCCATCCATCCATTGCCATAAAATGTATTATCACTCATCATTCTGTTGCTGTACTTGCCTGTAGTCATTGTCTGGGTTTTGTTGCTGTATTACTGACTTGTAGGTATATTTGCTGTGCTTTCATTTAGTAGAACTTTTATATGCTACCAGTCAGTGTAAGGTGTTAAAATTATCACCTTCTGAATGTTGTTGATCCCTGTGGTTGTACTTCTACCTACTAAATAATTTGTATTAGTTTTCAAATATTTACAGTTATATCTTCAGAAAATTAGAAAAAGAGCTGGATACTGATAGGTAATCATTAATATTGCTAACCTGTTAGCCTGGTTTCTTACAGATTTAATCCAGGAGAACTGGCAAAACTACTAAATTACCATAATAGCTAGCATGTCTGGGAATGCTTTAAAGGGTGACATGTTGGAAGCTGTTCCAAGATGGCTGGTTGGATGTCACCAATATATTTTGGAGAGAGGAGAATTTGTTTGGAAAGACACACACTGCACTATGTCTGCTGGCTTTGGGAATGAAGCACAGAAGCCATTTTATCTCATATAACACTTACCCACAGCCTGATATGTTTTTCCTACTCTTGTCCATAAAATTTTGAATAGAGTTCTACAGCTTGTAGTGGGGCTTCCCCTTTTTTATCTGAACAGTTTTGCAAAATGAAACTTTCTGAAAAGTTCAAATTAATAAAGCAGTGCTTACAGGATTTGAATTTATGCATAAATGTTTGTTAAAATTCTACAAAACTTAGCAGAGCATTATAGCTTTTTACAAGGTTGTGGATGATCTTATAAAATAAATGAACTTTAAATCCCATTCAGAATGTACCAATAGCCATAAACAGAATATTTTGTCTTTTTTGTTTTATAATTAACTTATACAACAATTTAATATGAGATTTTATATTGTCCTTTACAGAGAACACATCTTCACACTCTTTAGAACATTTTTTCATTTATTTCTCATTCTTCATTTTAATAAAAACCAGAAAAACGTATGTAAAATATAGCACATTGAGATCTCCTTTCAAGCACAAACAGATCGTTTACTCTTGAATTAGTGGAAAAATGCCCTATGTCAGCATATTTGATTTCAAGTTTATATGAATTTGAGTCATTAAGCTGAAGTCTAGACTCAAAATGACTCTTTTTTCCTGTCATCTGGTTTTAATTGGACCATAAATTTATGTCTTCACAGAATGACTCTGATATTTTACTAGTATTTTAGCAAAAAAAATATATGTAGAGAGAAAAATACATTATTTTCTTCTTTCACTTCTTATATCCTTTTCTCAAAGACTTAAAGAACTGTTTAACATGTTAATGACTATTCCTTTCCTCTTCTGTTTCCCAGACTAATTTCCAAAATGAGGGGAGGAAGTTCCCCTTATCTCTTTTCAAACTTATTTGTTGCCTCGTGGGATAAGTCACCAAAATGGGAAACATGAAAAAATATTCAGCAAGGTAATGCCTCCAGAGCTTCTGTGGATGCTCATTTCAACCAACAAAGGCTTGGAAACATATTGGGAGGTCAAATATGTTAGTCTTTTAAAATCTGTGCCTCTATTCAAATAGACCATAGTGAAAATGCAGAGAGCTGCAGCATTCCCCCTCTCAAGCAGCAGTGTTCCAGGTCAGCAGCCACGCTGACAGCAGCTGTTCCTGCTGTGCCTGAGCCCTCCTCGCTTTCCTTAAGGAGGGCAGGGTTCCTGTCTGTGCTTAGTCAGTGCTCAGATATCTGTATTCAGCCAGGCAGCTATTCCTCTGTTCCTCACCCCCGTCACAACAACACTCAACATACAGCCAAGACACTCTGATTTTATGGTGCCTGTTATGGCAGAATATGCTAAACAGGGAAAAATACAGTGCTGCTACTGAAAGCATTCATAATTCCTACCAGAGAAATAAGCATATATCATGATCTATCTAAATAACAGTAAAAAAAAAACATTTTAGCTCTAGCTAAATTATAAACAATAATAATAAAGAATAAGTGTAAGATATCTTTTTTTTTTGTCACCTCTTTTTGTTTTTTTTTTTTTCTCTCTCCGAAATGAAGATCAGGACACATTTTCAACATGAAACCTGCAATCATAAGCACTTGGTACTTCATTGCTACTTAACGAAAAGTAAGATTCCAAGTAATAATAACAACAAAAAAGAAACTCCTAGAGTTGAGGGTTCAAAATAAAGCAATTACTAAAAACAGACATCAAGGAAAGAATACTGTCAAGATGTTGCTGTTTGTTTTGTCAAAATTAAGGTGGATTTTCTACAGTACTCACACAAACTAAACTCTATACTCCAGGACAGTACATATTGTCATTCTTAATTTTTCACCAAAAATTAATTGCCCAAATAAATAGGGAAACAAATACTGTTAAAATGTGGTTGCAGAATTTATTCTATATCTGTTATTTTATTCCTTTCTATTTATTTAAAAATTTATTCTGAAATTACCCCTGCTTTCAATTGTCTTTTTAAGGCTCAGGGAAAACCTGTGTCACTGCCAACTTCTGCTGCACCTGATGTTTTAGTTTTTGCAGCTCTCTCCAAAAACCTTGAGACATGAGCTTGTTCATGAGGCAAGCTTTTGCTACTAACCTAATGCAAAATAGCCAGTGGTGCTATTTAGTCGGCATAAGATTGCTTCTTTAACCACTGCACATGTTTAAAATTTGTGATGATGTTAACTGGAGTTTGATGTATATATTAACAGGAGGCTGGAGGCCTCACTGGATTCCTTTCTGCTATATTCAAAATCACCATAGGTGTTATTTATACCACTTCTGTTCTTAGTGCATTTGCCAAGAAAGAAAAGTCAGTCCAACACAGTTGTCATCTAAAAATAAACACCAATGAGATCTTCTTCCTGTGGGCTGTAAGGTCATTCTGTAACTCAGCATGGTTCATTGATCTATTCTACCCCCTGTGCCTTTCCAGATTTATTGGAAATCTGTTCAAAGAAGAATATATCTTACTGCTTGCTACTCTAGGAACTGCTGCTAAATGCTGAGTAAAAGATTCTTTTCTATTCTCTTTATTCCTTGCCCTTAGAGACAGAACCGAGGAAAATCATCCCAAGTCTCTCAGACATCAGCTGAAAACAGATGAGCTGGGAATACAGGTTGAATACCCTTTGCAGTTCTTCCTTTGGACAAGTTCACTAAGTTCAGGAAACACCTTGGGAACAATTCATGTCAGTGTGTGTCTGTATTGCTTCTGTCATTAGCATGAAGAGCCTCAAAGTAATCTAAGTTAATGATCTGATTACTAATAAAGAGCAGCACTGGGTACAGGTCAGATGTGTGCTTTGTATTTCCCTTCCTTTCAATATTTCACAGTATTAAACAGTACTGTGAAGAGAAATATCTTGCTACTAGTAAGAGATATATCTATATACCTACATACTTCCCATCAACCTAATCACATAATGCATTTCATGCAGTTCAAGCATTCATGTAAAACATATGTAACTCATTAGAAATAAATGGAGTTTCATCCACATTCACTCAGGTTATGTCCCCTCTTCACTGCAAATCCTGAAACAAATGGGAAAATGTGAACACATGTGCTGGAGGTTTTACTAGGAGCTCAGCAGCTGGTATATAATCACTGAGGTTTGATTAATTTGTTGTTCTTTATTCTTTTTCTTACTTTAAAATAAAGGTTCTTAGCAAGACTAATGTATATGCACTCAAGCCAGCAGTATGAGAGTAATGTGAATTAATAAAATAGTTTATGAACAGTAGGATCCTGGGGTCTGTGGAGCTCTACTGAAACAAATGGCTCACCTTTGGGGTACCCCTAGAAAATGGTGTGCAAAAAGAGAGAGAGGCTTAGTGCATCAAGAAAAAGAAAGATGAAGCCCTTGAATTCCTTTGATTCCTGCTACAGAGGCACATCTGACAAAACAAATTTGTGTCAGGCTTTTTGCAAAGTGTTATCTTCTGCTTTCCCCTACTGCTGGGCCAGGCAGCTGCATGCCCCTTCCCCATCTGTGCCTCATTCGTCTCTTCCCTCTCTTCTATAATTTTCTTTATATTGAACAGTCGCCAGTTTTTGGCCTGATATTTTTGCTTCCAAGCATATAACGGTGGAATAGAAAGGTAATGTTTTGAGTCCTAATAATTTAATAATCTTACCCAGTAAATTTGACAGGATACTCTCTTTAAACCATTATCTGATGTGTATATTATTAACAGTATTTTTTTTTCTCTACCTCATCTTTCTTCTTCATCCCAAAGGTGAAGTGGTACTGAAGAAGCAAAAGAGTTCAGAAAATGAATATTTCTCTTTGACTAGATATTCAAACAGCTCCATATCTATCAATCCCTCTCATTCTGCACACAACTCTGCCTTCATTAGTCCTTTAGCTTCCACCCAGCAGATTCCTTTGTTCTCTTCCCTCAAAAGAACATGCAGTGCATATTGTGAACCTTAACTAAATGAACACAGTGGCATTTGCAAAGTGGTTTTAAGGCTGGGGTGAAAGGTGGTGTTTCAGCCCAACAGAATGGCATGCAAGAAACTCAGCAGTCATACCTGAACACTGCTACTTGGCAGATGTTCTCTGTGAACTTAAAAAAAATTAAGGTCTTTTGCCTGCTATCACTGCTGCATAAGCAAATGACCAGTAGTAACAGCTGCATTATCAATAACAAAAGCTTACAAAAGAGAGAGAGGGATTCACCAGAGAGCCCGGCCTGATCCCAGCTGCGACACCTGACCACTCCCTCTGAAACTGGCATTAGCCAAGCCCTCCCTCTGGCTCAGAACTGGAACCACCCCACTGCTCCCTCTGCTATGCTTACTCCAAGGGAAGGTACCTGGTACCTTTTAATAGTCCTACAAGTCCAATGGGGAATGGAGACTGACAGTGGACTACCATGGCCTGAAGGAAGCCACACCATCACTGAGTGCTGCTGTGCCAGACACGCAGGAACTTTAGTATGGAGTCCAAGGCAGCAAAGTGTCAATGTTAATGCGTTTTTCTCCATTCCTTTAGCAGCAGAATGCAGGCCACAGTTCATGTTCACCTAGAGGGGCATCCAGTACACCTGGAACCACCTGCCCCAGCGGTGGAATTACAGCCCTAGTATTTGCCAGACATTGATCTGAACTGCACTGGGAAATGGAGAGGCTCCATAACACATAACATAAAACAATATATTGGTGATGTCTTCATGTGGGACAACAGAGCAGAGGAATTTTTTTAGAAAGGGGAAAAGATATCACAAATCCTCCTGTCGGCCAGTTTTGCCATACAGCAAAGTAAGGTCAAAGGAAATTTAATTTATAGGAGTAAAATGGCAAGATGGACGTCATCAGATTCCAATGGATGTGGTCAAAAAAATAGCAGCTATTTCCTCACCAATTAGCAAGAAGAAAACACAGGGTTTTTGTCTCTATCAAATGACATGGAAGAAGAATGATTTCAAGTGGGATCCTGGACAATAAGTTTTTGAAAAAATTAAAGAGATTGCTCATTCAATAGCCCTTGGGCTAGTAAAGAAAGGATAATACATGCAAAATGTATTCTACACTACATCCAGTGGATAATGGTCCTTCCTGGAGTCTCTAGCAAAAAGTTCATGGGGAGACTCGAGAACAACCCCTGGGCTCATCTGAATAGAGATTTCAAGGATGGTACAGCTGACTTACAGTACTCAAACTCCACCCAACCCTCAGCTGAATAATGTGGTTTAGGAATTGTACTCCCCAGTTCAGTGCCCCCACTAAGACTCTCCAAACCACACAGCACTCTCTTTTGCTTCCCCACTTTCCCCTTTGCTGCTGTGGTGTGATGGACAGGGAGGCAGAAAGGGCAAAGATCAAGGGTTGAGATAAAAATAATTTATTTGAAACAGCAAAGAATAAGAAAACAAACAGTAACAATACAAATGACAGAGGTTACAAGAAAATAAATTATTCACACCAAAAAAATCCCAATAACAGACAGTACCAGACAATTTCCTCCACCATGTTTACTCAACTGGAAGAGAGGTCCTTTTACCCACCCCTGGAAAAGATGTGAAGAGATAGAGAACAATCTCTCTGTCCTAGGGATGCCCCATCCCACCTACTGCATAAAATTAACCTTGTCCTGGCCAGACCCGGGACACTGGGAGCTACAGCCACTTCTGAAGTTATTCATCAATTCACAAATGCAAGAAGAAAATAAACCAATATTATTGTTTTTCCCAAAGGTGCATTATCACCTTATTTTATTTATTTTTAAATAAAAATTAAACCCACATTTCTCAGGATTATATTCTTTCATTTAAAAACATGTGTGAAAAGAAAAAGGCCACCTGCAGAAGACGCTGAGAGTCTGTAACAGTTTTGCAGTTAATGCTTTTATCCAGACATGACTGAACTTCATGCCCTCCCCAAGCTCTTCCCATCTGCTCAGCGAAACATAGGCTAAGAAAACATGTCACCGCTGTAAATTGATCTTGAACTTTCCTGCCTCACATTTATGTCTTCTAAAAAATCCTTAAAGCTGTAACTAGAGTAGTGATACACTCAGGTAAGAAACAACATTGAGTTAAGCAGCCAAAATCTGGACATTTTCTCTTTATTGTGAAACTGGCGTCATTTCACTGAAGATAAAGGTGTAGGTTCTGATTTATTTGTCCAAGACCATTTCTAATTTATGACCTTAGTAGATTGGCTCAGGTTCTCTTTCAGTTTAAATAAATAAGTAACATATAATATCCTCCAAACCAATGCAATTGGGGAAGGTCTAAGTGCTACATCACTTCTGAGTACAGAAAATACAAGTTTATTGTGCATGAGGGATCTTTTCTTTTATCAAGATTGCTGAAAATATAAAGGGAACTATATACCCACACAAAAATTACCTCCAGAAGCACATTTAAATAAGACTTACAGAAGACAGTTAGAGGGGAAGAGCAAGAACAGAAAGTGTCTGCTCTGATTTACTCTAAATCCCTCCCTGGGTGATTTTGATGACTCAAGACCTGAGAAGCTTAGAAAAATATATATGACAGAGTCAGATGCTGTTAACTCTATGGATACAAACAATACATATTCTATCCTTCACTACTAAAGAAAATTATGGTATCTTGATCTCTGAAAGAGTAACAACAGCATCATAGGAATATTTTACTTCATAAGCACGTGCATTTATGAATCAAAGGGAGAAAAGAAAATGCCCCAAGTCTCTTTTTTTAATAGACTTTGTATTTATGAATAACAATATTTACAAACATGCCTCAGTCCATATGGTACTGGAAATATTTAATTATCAGGAAAATGACTGAAATATTTTAACACAGCAAAAGTTTCCACAGTACAATTTGTTATTCTACAAAAAGCAGTAAGTCTTTAGCTGCTGTAATTGCCTTGGTGTACTTGAATATCTCCATACAGATTTAAAAATTAAAAAAAGACACAGTCCTATTTCTCTATTCTGTTCTCATTTCATACTTAAACCTGTCAATTTCTAGACACAAATATACATCTTAAAGTCCATTTATGTGATAAATATAAAAATTGGACAAAATTCTGCCAATGCTTAACTGTGATTGAATCCACCTGATCCAAATCCCTTTGATAAATTTGACAAATCATTCTCATAAGCATTCTGTTTTGAAGCTATTTGGACTTGGTTCATTTTCTTTGCTTGTTCTGAGTAAGGTGAAGCTTTTAGTAAAACCAAAAAGTCTTTTTCCACAGATGAAGACAGTCTATTTTAAATACCACAAAGACAAAAATTTAAATTAAATTTTTAGATTAAAAAATAATTTAAAATCTGTGGTAGTGTTCTTCACCTAATATCTGTTATTCAGAAGACCTTTGTTTTGCTGTCTTATCTTGCCTTGGTACTGGCTGTCTAGTGATGATTTTGGAAATGTTACTTTGGGCTATCTGATCAGTAGTAAATTAAACTGCCCAGGATAATTTTCTGCCAAGGAAGCCAACTAGAATAAAACATATCTTACTATTTAATTATTTTAACTGCCAAAAAATGCAAGACCTCTTGACTAATGGATCAAAGCCTATGCTGTCTCCTGAACTGTGAGTGAGATAGGTTTGAAATCAGTCTGTCCTTTGTTATAGAAGATTGAGTTTTGCTATTATGTTGGAGCCCCATTTAGTTCATCTGTTTAGGTGTAGCTTTTACCTCTTTCTTCTACAGTTTCCCCATCTGCAAGGAGAGGAACATGATGCCTGCTTCTCCTAACCCACACTTTGAAATGTCTAAAGGAAAGCATTAGCTATGTCCCTTAATAAAGAAAATGAACTGTTAGAAGATACAGTACAGACTTCTCCAC